GAGAGAGGGAGGTCTGGGCATCTTTGCTTAGACTGCTGCCCCCGCGACCCGGCCCCGGATAAGCGGAAGAAAATGGATGGATGGATGGATGGAGCAATGGACAAAATTTTAAAGAACTGTCATATAAGGGATGACAAAATATACTTGTACTTCCTTTATTTCCATTTACAAATATTGCAATTTGTTATATTCACCATATGTCAAGACTGTATATTAGGGATGTGACGAGATCTAGGGGGCAATCGACTCACGCTGGCTTCACTTCTGGGAGCTGTCACGTTGCCCGTCTTTAATCAAGTTGAAGGTCAAGACCAAATTTAGCTTTAACTTTCAGCAATGCAATCTGTGAACTGCGATGCTCAGTATGAGAGTTTGGTTTTGATGCATTTTTATACAGGGATAATAAACTATGGTAGAAGTGTCTCCGGCTATAGCTGAACATTTTTGATACTTCTTGAGAAACACACTGTTCCCCATCTCCACACAGGCCTGACTGCAGTACAAATATTACACTGGCTGCCTTTAGGCTGCCAAATGACATTAATGCTCCTCTTCAGTTGACAGAACGGAGCCACTAGTGCAAAAACCACAACATTAATAAAGAAAATTGGACACTAAAACAGAGCAAAAAATAAATTACAACCAGTGAAAACATGGAGCACATGCTGTTGGCTAATATGAAGATGAATAAATGAATGTTGAAAACACAGCATAAACAATAGTTCAGCTCTGAATAAAAAGTTTTTGCTTGTTCTCTCTTTATAAACTCTGGGAGAGTGTAGGTGTATAAATTAAAGAGGGCACATGTGCTGCTTTGTGTGGGAGAAAATTCCCTGTGATTGCGTGTGGCATGGCCCAGGCTTAATTATGATCCCAAAGACAATGAGATTCATTTTAAACATAAGTCCACTCTATTGCAGCTATTACCATGATGATATACAAACTAAATCAACTGTCTGTTGCTTTACAAGTATATTCTGAATAAATGTAGCCAGGAATGATGAATATTTGCTTTGTTCAAGCACTTTGGGACATATGTTTATACTTAATACTGATCTAGAAAAGCAGTTAACATATGAAGTGCCATTCTCCTGGGCTCGGGATGATAATGGCAGCATTAACTAAAAGGACAAATATGACTTTTATTCGACTGAAAGTCACAAAATGCAAAACACTGCAGGTGCATTTTGAAATGTTTTAACTAATCATCTTGTAATGATTGTCACTTCAGTTCTACTTTCTGAGTATGAATTATCATATGCAGCAAACGACAGAACAATATTCAAACATTGTGAACTCAACTGTCTTCTCTCCTGTATGATTTCACATCAGTCTCTTCAGACCTTACAACTGTGCATGAACTATGCACTATGAACTATGGAAACATCCATGACAACCACAGTGCATCTGTCAAGGAGAATGTTAATCTGACATTAAGAAGTGTCCTATGTGGTAAAACAGCCAGAAACTGTAACTGTGCTTTTAGTGGCAGTACAGTCCTAACTACTGCTTTGTTATTATAGCTGAACCCAAGCTAGTAGTAGATAACAGTAATAAATGCTGCAATGTAACGTAATGTAGTGGTAACATTACTTGATAAAACAGGAAACCCATAACAAACAGTGAGTCCAGGGTACAACAATAACAGCACATTTAATAGCAGCTTATAGCAGCGATTACAATATATATATATAAACACTGAGAAAAAAAAAAGTAAGTAAAAGGTATACTTACATTCTTAGTAACGCAGCAAGTATATGGGACACCGCAAGCCAATGGACCACGTCCAGAACAGTTGTGGTACATGTTGACCCCCCAGTCTGTAAACTCTTGACCTCCACAACACTTGAACTGCCAGAGATGAGAAACGTGGCAGATGAGCACAGAAATTTGACGGAACAGGAAAGAGGAAAAACAAAGAACGAGATGGGGAAAAAAGCACAAGGTGAATGAGGGACAGAGAGAGGGGAGGTGGGAATGACAGAGAGAAAACAACTAATCAGCATTATTTCTGCCATGCTAGGGCAGTGACAATAACATTTTAGTATGAAACTGAGCCATTATTAACAACAATTTGCATGTAATTATGAGTCTATTTTATATGTGCGTGTCATGTCGGTGTACAGATGGCGGTAGGGCTAGGTGATATGGCTGATATGATCAATTATGATATTTTAATATAGCATATCAACTTTTTTCTGACAGACCTCAGTATGGAAATCAATCATTAACATGTTTTTAAATAATCTGCTCTGAATCATTAATCAGGATAATTATATATGATCAATATATTCTTGACATTACATAACTGCTCCACTTACAATAAACAGTAATTTATTGCCAAGCTCACCATGAACACCTGAAGCTACATACAATCCAGGCTAATACAATGGCCCTGCAATGAACCCTACCTTTAACCAATGATTTGGTGTTAATTGCATTTGGTTTACACAGCGTTTTGTCTCCCTCTTTCCTCACTATCTCACTGGGTAACATAACATAAAGCATCACAAATACATGTTATTAGCAGTGAGAGTACCACACACAGAACTGAACCTTTGCAATTCAAAGAACATAAAGCTCTGTATGTCCTCTCACTCATATACAATAATGTTAGAACTTACAGAACTTGCCAGTAAAAGCCTCTCTTATCCTCCACACTCAGCCAGCTTTTGAAAGCTGCATCCACGCAGACTCAAGTGTTTCCACCTGAATCAATACTTGCAGCCCCAAAAGATTATTTATACCTGTCAACCTCCAGTTGTTGGTTTACAGGTATAAAGTTCTGTGATACCAAGTAATTTTTTTTTATTGCCCACCATTCCATCCATTGCTGACAAACTCTCTAGTAAACAAATGTGACTTCATAGGGACAATAAATGAGACTCAATGAGCTGTCTAGATAAAGACTAGGGGTACATACTCTTAATTGATCATTCAAATAAAGACAAGGGGCTGAATTTAACTTGACAGGGAAAACATGGGGTGCAGATGGAGACAGGGTAAAGACTGGGAGTGTGACAGTAGCACACCGTTGATGACTGTCCAGGACATTAACAGTACCACTTGTTACACATATTACAACTGTCGTCATACTTGGCAGACTCTAAATACTGACTACTGAGGCTCAAATCTGTTTCTGTCTCAATCACAGTAGGGACTCCAGCGCTTCAAACTTCACCATTAGGTTTAATTGAGTGTTTCTCAAGACTATTTAGGCAGTTACTACGTTTAGCAGTCATGACAACATCAATTTTAATTTAATAATCAACAAACACAAACAGCATTTTTACCCATGTTTTCTAAAGACATTCTGACTCTACTTAGCATTAAATGGTGCAACAAATAATACTCATTATGCGCATGTTTGAGAAAAATCTATTAAAAGGATAAATGTGACAACCATTCAAAAGCTTTTCAATGTCTGAATAAAAAAGAAAAATGTACTGCACATCAAATCACAAAAACCCTCTAATATCTCCATTCACCAACATCTACCTGTTTTATAATTTCTGTTCCCTGCATCAGAGAGTAAATACAGAAGAACCCAGGAGCCACTATTAGCTCTGCTGTGTAGTCATTTAGTGAGACAAAGACTTTACTGGGAGGGAGAAAGTCAGTCAGTAAAACAGAGAGAGAAAAGAACGAAAGGTCAAACAGGAAGAGTACGTGAGACTAGAGATAAATGGTAAATTGACTTGTATAATGCTTTTCTATACACTGAAGCATACAAAAAAGCACTTTAACGTTATTTGCCCCTTCACCCATACAAGCATTCACATATTCACACACCGGTGACATCACCAGGAACGACTTAGGGCTCAGTGTCTTGCCCAAGGCCACTCTGACATGTGGCCTGGAGAGTAGAGAGAGAAGATGAATAAATTAATAACTTTAAAGTGCCTTTTATCAGGCAGTGTTTTCAGTGCGCTGACATGCTGCCATCATGCCAGGACGTTACTCCTTATTCTCGTTAGCATGATGCCACTGATCACCAGCACTGGGTCAAAACCTGCACAAAGATCACAGGAAGGCAAAGTAATTATGATGTGATTCATGTCCACAACTGTTAGGTGTGCATCCAAAAACATTACACCTTCACAGTGGGTTACTGTACCACTTTAGAAGGTAAAATGCAATACAACAACCCTGCAGTAAATCCTTGCTTTGGGAAGATTGAAGTCGAGTGCTGTTTGGGGGATTCTGCGTCCTCACAAGACCAGCATGAAGCACCAATCTCTCAAAACATCTGTCAACACAGACGAGACTGCAGCGGAAGAGGGAAGTCCCTCAGATCATAAACACTCCCTACAGCCACTTTCAGAGTGACAACTGGGTGACACAACAGCATGTTTACTGATGTTATTGTAAGATATATAGTAAATCAAGTGAAATGTGACTTTTCCATGATTTTTTTTCTTCTATTTTTATCATCTCTGGTTTAAATTAAACTGTTTCTCTTAGATCCAAAACAAAGTTTGCTCTAAGGGTTTCACAGATGAACCTCTATTAACCAATTTATTTTATTTATGTTGTCTTCTGCACATATATTTTTCAGAGGTCCTCAGAGTTGGTCATGTCTCTCCAGTAGGGGTGGAACATATCAGAAGACTCACAGTTTATTTGGGTCACAAATTTTGATTCACAGATGGTCATTTTTTGGATCAGAAAACAAAAAAAAGTCCAAGGTTTTATTAAAATCTTAAAATATCCCAAACTCAATTGTTAAATTAACCTCATCAAGTAGTGTTTATTCCTAGACTGAATCAAGCAGCTTGTGAGACTAAATGGGATGAAACTGTGCCCGGTTCATAATTGTAATGGCGTGTTTGTGAATGTTTCCATGACGATGAAAGTCTTGCCCATGCCACATATCGTTAATGTTGCCATGAACACAAAACTGCTTTGCCTGCATCTTTTCACTGCAACTCTGCATCCAGAAATGAACCTCTCCCTGTCTTTGTTGGCAGCTGTGCTCTATCCAAAAAAAGTCTTACATTTTAAAAAAAGAAATACAAAAAAAAACATACTAAGCTAAAACGGTATTACTCTTTTCTCTCTTTATATATTTAACTGCATCCCTCCATTTAAACTTCACAACACTACTCTGTCTTACAGCGTTCCTGACAGGTCCTGCACTTTTGACTGTAGCACTGATTCCATCTATAAATAAACAGTAACTGTGTTATTTCTATGCTGACTAGTTATGGGGTCTAGTCTCATAATCAGAAATCTACCCCTGATAAAGCGTGCACCTAACTGTTAATGTCTAAACAGTGCTGTACATGCACACATTTGTCTGAAGGTATTTACTGTGCTGCAGCTGCTTAAATAGTCACATGGTCTAATCAACCCAACATCGGTGGATTTGCATGAAAATGGCAAATTCACATTCAAGACCAAGTTCTGACACATCAGTGAGAGAGACAGCAGAAGAGGAAGGAAAGAGATAATAAACCAGTAGAAACAAAAGGGTCTCAACCTTATAGATACTTCATGTGACTGCAACATCAGTTGTTGACAGAAGGTTGAGGCAATGCAGATGATTACCGCTTCTGGTTGCAAATCTCTCTAAAATGCCAGCTGTTCCATTCTGCAGCCCAGAACACATTTTAATCATCAACATTTTGCAAGAGATGGATGCACTTCTAAAGGTTTTTCTAACAGTCTCAGTACATGAAACACAACCAGCACTTACTAACCTAAGCTTCTAAGTGCTGCAGGTAAAAACAGCTATTTGGTGGACAAAGGACAATGTTTCCATCAGTAAAAAACACCTGTAGTGTACTTTCTTCAGTTTCTCCATTGATTTGAACTGTAGGCAAAGAGATATTCCATCTGTTCCCGCAAACATTCCTACACACAGCACAATTTCCCTCCCTCAGTTTTATCTTCTGTCTCTCTTCTACTTCCTTTTTATTTCCTTGACATGAGTTGTGTCTCACATCTTCCTGACTTTTCCCTTCACACAAGAGTTCAGCATCTAGAAAAAACAAAATAACCTATGCACAAAAACAGTCTAAAATAACACACGATGATTTCGGGAACGTTACAAACAGCTGACACTATCTCCATCACATATGTGAGATAGGCTAAGACATATTTAATATTATATGTTTATATGCATTTTGCAGACTGATACAAATATCCAAAATACATCTTAAATTAAATGCAATTTTATTTTAAATTTGTAAAACACATTAAATATATTATTGTATTAAAAGAATGCACTTAAAAAAGTAAAAATTTTATTCCATTCTATATTTAAAAATATTTGCTATAACCTCCAAATAAAGGTGATTATCCTTATAAAAATATTTTTAAAAAAGCCACTGTGGTTCAGTGTGTAGAGCAGTCGTCTCCCAACCGGAAGGTCGGAGGTTCGAATCTCAGTGCCTGCAGTCCACATTTCGATGTGTCCTTGGGCAAAATACTGAACCCCCCCTGTTGCCCCCAATGCTTAGAGCCATTGGTTGAGTTGGCGCCACAGATGGCTGCCTCGGTTCTGTACCGGAAACAAATTCCTTGTGTGTAACATACTTGGCCAAATAAAGGTGATTATCCTTATCATTCATTGTTAAAAAAGGTTCCTCAGTTATAAATAACTGCAAATTTACTATATGTTCTGAAAATATACTGGACTCAACATCTAACACACTTCACGTGCTCTTACTTTTACTTGGGTCTGCTTTACCAAACCTGTGTAGTTCAGCTCTTAAGGTGTGTAGCAGTGTGTTTGTGGTATCGGGGGTGCTAATACTTTACATGTCTGTTCAGTTCCACTTTGAGAGATGACGTACCTGATGTGTCACTGCGTTTCAGACCTCATCATGGCACCAAAACAACTCTTA